TATGTTGTCCTAGATTGTTCTCTTCTCCGGCCTTCTCCAAACTCTTCACCCTTTTGTGAATAACCCTGTTTGTGTACAAAGAATAAAAGGTAAAAAAAGAAGAGTGCCAGCATGGAAGTAGACTCCAAGTAAAATGTCTTCTTGATAAAAAATGGTCCTTTAACAAGCCAACATGTTTTGGGGGTTCTAAGGGCCACCTTTCTTTAAGGGTCTTCATTAGAAACCGATACCTTGACGGCAAAGAATGAAAAGTGGAGTAATATACATGGATGCTATAGTTGCTCCTGCAGTCCAGGTATCTTATCAATAAACAGACTTTGTACTTGAACTCTGCCCGAGTCGGCGCTCTTTTTGCCTTTATTATCACTATCTCTTCCAGCACAGGTCTCCTTTTACAATGGCGGAAACCAGTGGATTAGCAAAGCAATCAGGACCTCCTCTCCAGCACTTTCCACAATGCACTGCAGGCAGGGCCGGCCTTTGGGGTGTGCGGGCTGTGCGACAGTGTCACTAGCAGTCTATGGATGACTCATTAAGATGGCCGCCGCTCGGCGACAGCGCGGTGGCCATCTTTAAAACTGGGCAAAGTACTGGCACAGGGTGTCTCTCAATAGGATATGGAGGTTCTGCTTTGCATTATGAGATGCATACAAGGTTATTCACTAGAGGGTGAAGAGTTTGGAGAAGTGAACACTCTAGGACAGTGGTGGCGAACCTTGGCACTCCAGCTGTGCCAAAACTACAAATCCCAAGATGCATCTGCCTCTGGGAGTTATGTCTGTGGCTGTCAGAGCCTTGCAATGCCTCATGGGACTTGTAGTTCCAAAACAGCTGGAGTGCCAAGGTTCGCCATCACTGCTCTAGGACAACATAGCTGAACTGGAAAGTGAGCTGAATTGGGGAATTTTTCCAAATCGGCTACGTTGTTCTAGATTGTTCCCTTCTCTGAACTCTTCACCCTTTTGTGAATAACCCTGATAGAGATGTTCCAGAGTGGTTTCATGAAGCCAGGAGTTCACATGTTGCAGGCACCTTGCAGTAATTTACTTGCTGTCAACCTGAAGGTATTGGTTGACCTCTACTAGAGCCTAGTCTTCATTAACCTGTGTTTGGCCAGTGTAGGGCAAGGCAACAAGGTCACTTTAGTCTGATCCTCTAGTTTATACTTCACTTCCATTTACTTCATCATGTTCTCCCGTTAGGGATGTCCCGATACCGATGCTAGCATCGGAATCGGGCCCGATACAGGGCATTTTGACATGTGAAAATAAGGTCACTTCTCCTTGGTCCTCTGAGTGCCCACAGCTCTGGGGAAGAGCAGTACAAGCTGCTGGTGGGGCTGCCAATACAGTGAACCCATTGTCCTGCATGGCCAAAGCCCCTGTACTGTAAGGCCAGCTCTAAGGGTTACATCACGTGACAAGGGATGAGGTCAGGCAATGAGGTTACTTGCTTGCCCTCAGTGGGCAATGAAAGGGTTCACTTTATTGTTCATTTTGCATTTTGGGGGTGGATCCTACCTTTTTAAGAAACATACAATTTTTTTAAAGAATACCACAGAAAAAGAGCCTCCTACCCCCAATAATGGGAGTGCAGTAAAAGTCGCACAAACCTTCCAGGACAGTTTTGCCAGCATGTAAACACATTGGAGAGATGTGATCAAACCCGGAGCAGACAATCTGGAGCAGTTGCCCATGGCAACCAATCAGCATCCCTCTTCGGTTTGCTCAGGTAAGATTTGAAAATGAGACGGAAAAGCTGATTGGTTGCCGTGCAAATCTGCTCCAGATTTTTTTGTCTGCTCCAGTTTTGATTAATTCCTCCCATTAACTTTTTTTAGGACTGAAAAAAACCACGAGGACCAAACAACTCAAGCGTGAATTTACCCCCCCCCCTTTGGAAAGCATCACTTGGATAAATCTCACAGTGAATTATTGACTGGTAGTTCATTGACTTAGATAACTGGCGGAACTACCAGGGTCGCAGCAGTCGCAATCGCGACCGGGCCCTGGCATTCCGCCAGTTGGGGGGGGGCCCAGAGAGAAAGAGAGCCCGCAGATCCCTCAAGCTGCCCGCAGCGTTCGTGGCCATGGGTTGCTTGGTGGCGTCCTATGCCCTATGCCCACACGGCGCATGCGCTAGGGGGCGGGACGAACTGGCGAAGATACAGCAGAGGAACAGTTTTAGATGAAATGTAAACCTGTCTGTTTCCGGGAAAACAAACCAATTGCCGAATTCTAGACAGCATGTGGCAACATAGTGGCTCTGAAACGTGCTGTGGGTTTGTTGTCATGGTAACATAATAGAACAATTTAGGGCAAATTTATTATGTTGTAAATGATGATTTTGCTGATCTATGCTGCTTATTCACCATCCAGACACTCGTGATGCTAAAGCACATTCACTGGCCAAACTTGCCCAAGCACTTACTGGATCATGTCATCTCTGCTACACCCTTGCCTGAAATTTATCCTGGGAGCCTTTGGTCTCTGGGTTGTTTCCTTACTTGAGGGGTCTGATTTTGTGCTGACCTTGTCCTATCCACCTACATTGTATGAGGCTCTCACCCCACTTATTGGACAGCTGCAGGAAATTACCTAAACTGCCACCTACAAATACTGTCCTCCCCCTTCCTGTCTTTGCCCTAGTATAGGATTTCCTGTGTGCGCATCCTGGGGGTTATTATCTTTGCGATATTCGATTCCTGGTTTATGATCATCTGCTTGTCCCCCACCTGCCTTTGGATTACCTTTTGTACCCTGCTTCTGTCTGTTGCTGACCCGGCTTGGACTTTGACTCTGCTTCTTCTTGACTACCCTTTGAAAATGTTGCCTTCCGTTTGCTGCTGACCTGGCCTGGAATCTGACGCTGAGTTCCTATTTACTTTGGTACTGTGCAATTCTAATTACTGGCTACTGACTGTGGCTGACACCATATTGTGAGTAGTTCCTTTCATTATTATTGTATTGCTGGTCCTATTCTGCTTAGATCTCACTCATCAGGTCTCTGCATATCCCGGCTGCGAGATTCCCATCTGTCTCTCCACCTGACACCGGGATAACAAGACTACCGGTCAGGAAATCGGAGTGAAGGGGGGGACTTCTTGGCAGGCCTAACGATCTCTTTCGCTGGACATTTGGGTTTTCTGTTTTTAGTTGATTTGATGAATGATTCAGTATGGAAGCCCTACTGAACTCAATCCCGCATCTCAAATCCAGGTCCATGACCTAAACTCCTCATTTGCATACACTGCCATTCATTCCCTGCACCCAGATCCCATTAACGGGGTAGGGTGCCTTAATTCAGTCTCATTGTTTTAAATATGTCCCTTTACCTTTTAAACATTTAGTTATGTTGGCTCCTGTCTAGAGTTACAAACATTTACTGAAATACGGTTTTGTTTATAGCGGGTTCCATTCGCGTGGGTTGTGTCTTACTATCAGCATGATTGGAACTTTTTATTTGGGCAACAATACAATATATGGCCAAACATTTGTGGATACCTGACCATCACACCTACGATGGATGTCCTACAAAATTAAGAAGGGTACTTTAAATGCTACAGCATACAAAGACATTTTGGATAATTGTGGGCTTCCAACCTTTTGGCAACGGTTTGGGGAAGGCCCTTTTTCTGACTGTGCCCATGTACACAAAGTCAGCTCTATGAAGACATGGTTTGACAAGCTTGGTGTGGAGAACTCTGGTCCTGACCTTAACCCTTTGGGGTGCATTGGTATGCTTATTGGCGAGCTAGGTCTTCTTACCCAACATCAGTTCCTGACCTCAAAAATGCTCTTTTGGCTAATTAGGCACAAATTCTCCCAGACGTACTGTACATTTCAAAATTGTGCCAAAATCCTTCCCAGAAGAGTGGAGGCTGTTATAGCCACAAACATGGGGGAGGCAAATCCATATTAATGCCCCTGGTTTTGGGAATGGTTTTCCAACAATCTCATATAGGATGGTCAGATGCCCACAAACTTTTGAACATATGGGGTTTAGCAGACTGTATTAAAGTGAACTTGTGCTTTGCCCATGCTCCTTCCTGCCACTCCCCCACTGCTCCATTTTGGCCCACAGGAACAACTTGAATAAAAACCTGTGTAAGCTTCAAATGATAGTTTGGAGCTTATGCAGGGATGAGAACTCTCTCCTTATTCTCATGTGACATCGCTGTGAGATCACAAAGCACCAATGCCATCACATGGGAGGAAGTGTAGTAAGTCACATGTTCTCCATATGGAGAAGTGTCATGTAATCTTCGATATCAGTGGCTGAATGGGCCGGTGGGGAAGCGAATGGAAGGTGAATATGTGCTGCCAGTGGGGCCACCATTATCACGGTTAACCAGTTCATTTGCCCTGCATGGGTACAACACAGGTTCACTTTGAAGCATTGCACAGGGAAGCACTCATATAAAACTGTAATTATAAATACATGCCATGCTTCAAATATTATCCCTGAATTCATAATTAAATAGAAGTTTTAAAAAAATAGTTCAAAAGTTAAGATAACCCATAAGATCTTCAGGTTATGAACGTACAGTATTGTTTTATCTTCCATTTACAATGCACTGTTCAAGTATATCTCGTTGCCACACATATACCACCCCTTTTCGGCTCATCCAGTCAGTGGCACATGGCAACGCATTATCATTCCTGGAGGGTTCCATTGTCCGGGCTTTTTGTAAAAATTCCCTTTGCTCTTTTCTGTAGAAAACTTGGACCTCCATGTCGGCAAAACAAAAACAACACAGAAAACCAGAATACAAACGTTTTCTCCTGGTGGACCACACAAATGAAATGAACTCTGAACTTCCAAACCCACCTCTGGGTGTCTCCGCCATCGAAAAAAAATGGCAGTAAGGAGTTCCAATGTTGCAAACAATGCCTCGGCAATAGTTTGCAGTGGATGCTTTCTTGGATCGTTGAAGGTCACCCACGTTTTGATGAAGGTCTTTGTTTTAAAAGTTCTCAACTTGATTGTAATCTTGATGTTCCAGGACCAGCAAGGGAACGTCCTTAACAGCATTGATCGGCTATGAGTAGAACCTGCTGTTACTTATTCGTTTCTCTCCAAGCCTTAAATAGGTGAAAACACAACCATTAGCACCATGAAAGGCAGCTTTAGCTAACTCTCCAGTAAAAAGTCTACCAAGATGCACATTCAGCCCTCATTCACGCTGGAATCGGCCCGCACGTACAGCTCTGTGCTGCATGTAGGGCCGTATCGGGCAGCTCCCGGGAAGGACAGGTGCTGCGTGTGATTAGTAAGCAGCCCCCGTCCTTCTGTATGGGACTACGTGGCTGTACGCCGCCCTACGCCCTGTTTTTCCCTAGGAGTCAGCAGTACAAGCCTTGTGTAAGCTCCATGTAGGGTGATGTTAGAGCTTACGCAAAGTTAATGACTCCTAGACATGTGCGATTCATTTTGTTACGAATCACAATTCGGACAAATTTTCCCAAATTCGAACACATCCGAATTTCCAAATCCCAATGCATCCGATTGTGTCCAAATCTGAATTTACAAATTTTAAATCCCGTCCGAATTCCGTTCAAAAACAAAACTGAATCGGACATGTAATTGATGGAGGTGCCCTCCGCACACCTTTCAGCAGTCATCTTGAATCGGACATGTGACTTTTCTGGCTAATCAGATGGGGTTTTTTTTTCAGTTTAATGCATCTGAATGGGTCTGAACACGAACTTTTGTTACGGCAACATGGGAGCCATATACAGTATATACATATAATACTAAAGCTGAGGCTCCTAGACTCGAATAGTGTTCGGGATCCAAATTTCCGAATTGCATTTGGGAGCTCCCGAATGCCATTCGGGTCTGGGAGTCTCAGCTTTAGTAATATATGTATACGGCTCCCAGACCCGAATGGCATTCAGGAGCTCCCAAATGCAATTTG